TTATCTGTGGATTGTCAAAGGCTCCAGTGTATTAATTTAATATATATACCTGAATATTAATATGAAAGCAATTTGCCATTAACTGCCAGTGGCCTCATTTGTTACACTCGGCCCTAGCGGGCCTCGAACCTCTGATTAGTCTTACACGGTCTGCAACATCTTCTGACATCTCTTTTTAACTTTTCTTTTTAATGATGTTCTTGTATGATGTCATCCCATAACTCTTGTGGTCTTCAGTCATTAGTATCTAAGGAATCATATCGGCTCTTAAGATGGTCTCTCCATTTAGGTGGGATATATTCATCATATTTTGGCTATCATGGATTTGTTTTAATATTCTTCAGCTTTGGCCTGAACTTGCATATGAATTATTAATAGCCTGTTCCACAGTTGGCCACTGGCCTTGTTTATGTTGATAATATTGAGCTTCTCCATCTTATCTCTCAGATGTAGTCCATTTGATTCCTGTCTATTCCATCTGGTGAGGTCCATGTGTGTAGTCAGTTGTTTTTTATGTTGTTTAAAAATATATAATGTAAAAAATATATATTTTACATTATATAATGAATAAGTCAGTTGTCTGGAAAATCCTATCATTTGGATCTCCAGCATTATTTCTAATACCATGGGAGTCCTGTGTGGTGCTGTGGGTTAATGCGCCAGACTGCAAAGCCGTTTGAACTGCAAGATCGGCAGTTCAAGCTCACCAGCTGCTCCTTGGAAACCCTATACAGGGTCTCTATGGGTCGGAATCGACTCGACGGCACTTAACAACAACCAACAACAATCCTTCCTCTTTGGTTCCAACTTTTGCTTTCCAGTCACCAGTAATTATCAGTGCATCTTGATTGCATTTTTAGTCAATTTCAGACCGAAGAAGTTAGTAGACTTCTTCAATTTCATCATTACTGACCTTCATGGTTAGTGTATAAATGTGAATAATTGTTGTTATGTGCCGTTGAGTCAGTTCCAGCCCATAACTAACCTGTATAGGGTTTCCGAGAAGCAGATGGTGAGCTTGAACAACTGACCTTGCTGTTCAAACTGGCTTTGCAGTCTAGCACATTAACCCACAGTGCCATCAGGATAAGGAAGACCAATTAATGCCACATCATCAGTGGTATTGATTGGTCTGTCTGGTAGGCATATGGATAGTATCCTATGATAAATAGCATTATACTTGAAGATAGAACTTGGAATATTCTTTTTGACCATCAACGTGATGCCATTCCTCTTCAATTTGACACTCCCCACACAGTAAACCATATTATAGTCGGATTCAGAATGGCCAGTGCTTGTCCATTTCAGTTCACTAATGCATGGGATATTGATCTTTATGTGTTCCATTTCATTTTTGACAACTACCAGTTATCCTAGATTGATGCTTCATACATCCCAAGTTCCAATTATTAATAGATATTTGCAGCTGTTTTTCCTCATTTTGAGTTGTACCCCATCAGCAAAGAAGGTCCTGAAAGCTTTGCTCCATTCATGTCATTATGGTGAACTCTACTTTGAGAAGAAATCTCTTCCCCAGTTGTATCTGGAGTGTCTTCGAACCTATGGAGCTCATCTTCTGGCTCTCTGTCTGGCAATGGTCCATTGCTATTTATAATTGTAGTTAGCAGTCCAGTGCTTGTCTTACAGCACCACACCAAGACTCTTGGGGTGAAATAGGGTATTTAAATCAGATAATTAGGTAAAATACAATGATTTCTAACCCTGTCTTGTCCAGAAAAAAAATAAACAATAGGACTCTTCCTGGAAAAATAACCTCATATACTCATAATTTAAAATGTAAGAAGCCATTGACCATTTGATCACCCTATGATTTAATTATGTATTGTTTATAATAGTTTATTCTGTGCTATTTAGTAGTAACAAACAAACCCTGAAATCTCATGACTAAACCCAACAGAGGTTAATGTGTCACTCACATGAAGTCCTATATGTCAAGTGGACTTCTCTCGCATAGTTATGTCATCTGAAACATGTGACCTTGTACTATGGGATGGGATGAAGGAGCAAGCACATAGGCTCTTAACTGCCTGGAAGTGGCACACATATTTGTGCTTCTAGTCCTTGGTGTAGAACCATTCACATGGCAGTTGTAGAGAAGCCAATGCAGTATTGAGTGGCCACTAATTTCTCCTTGACGCTATGTAGATGGATTTTCAAGTTCTTGCCGTAGATGCACTCTCTTCCCATAGATCAACCATGGAGTCCTGTTGTTTATTTAACTGAATAATGAATTTTTAATTTAAAAAGTATTGCCTTCCTCCTATGTGCTAGCACTTTGACAGACACTAAAACTATAGAGACACATAAGATACAGTATAAAATTATTTCATTGCCTTTGAAATAAATGTCAAGTCATTCCCCCTTATTGTTTTTATTGGCAGTGTCCACTAATCAAAGACTCTAATTTATTGATTTATACTCAAAAGCTGGTTGTATCTATGTTGCAAATGTTTAATTTCAGATATTTTTCTCAAGTCTTTTGAGAACTGTTCTTTTCCTAAAAGAATCCTTTTACCTAAAATAATTATTGAGACTCTTCTTAGAGGACCTTTAATATGCCTCATAGATGGATAATTGCAAATTCATCTATTTCCCAGTACTACCTTGTGGTTTATTTCTGATGTTCACTGAAGCAGGTTTATAAATTAATATTAATATGAAATGGTCTATAAAAAGTTTCATAGCATATCAGGTGAAAGCAATTATCCAGGAAGTTTTTTTATATCTGAGTAAGTCTTGCAAATACATCACACAGGTTTTTGAAAGGAAATAACTCTTCTGATTTAAAAAGATTCATTTATTTTACAGAGAATATTATTTCTATTCATGTTTACTTTCAATCTACAGCTTTAACTGCGAATGCTAGTGATGCGCCTGACTTTGAGAGTTTGGATTCTGAGATTATTAATACATTTTTTATAATGTTTGCTTTCCTGATGTTTTGTTTTTCAGAGTACCCGTGTGGCCTTGGACCATCTGGAATCTGTGCCTGAGAAACTGAGCCTACTTGAAGATTTCAAAGACTTCAGAGTAAGAAAGAGTTGACTTGTCTGTTTCAATATTTTTATCTGAATGAAAGCACTTGACATCTTCTTGAGGCACAAAGAGACATGTAGGGAGAGAGGAAGGACCAAAACACACTGGGGACTTTTAACACTCCATCTTATCAGAGTTTACTGACATTGTGAAGTCAGGATTGAAAGTAGTGGAATTCATGTATTATTAGCACAATATAGTTAGAGACTTTTATACACTCATAGAAAATCATTTGCCTAAAACTTTAAATATTATGTAGAAAGACCTAAGAATTAAAAGAAAGTTACACATGATGTTGACCATAGATAAGTTTTTTGATTAGTAATTTTAATTTATAAACTATCTTCTCGTTTTAATTACAAATTGCCAAGATACTATTTGTTTTAGCGATATGATAGTTCACAGGTTACCCCTATTGTACATTTGATGAATTCAAGTCTACAAAACATTTCATTCCCATGAATAGATTTTACCTATGTAATCTTTTTAAAATTTCTCATAGAGGAGAGATGCAAAGCAAATAACCCTGCTGTCTAGTTCTTCATCCAAAAACCTTCTTCACATATTTCCTCAGGGCTGCATTTATAATGTACAAGCTTTGCAATATATAATGTACTGACACTTTATAGTTAAAGCTAACAATGCTAAGGTTTTCTTTTTTGGAAACCATTGTATCTTTTATTTCACATCAGCATTAAAATTTAATACGTTATATTGAGTTCTGTTTCAGTCTAAAATATAAGAAAACTAGATCATATCTTATTGGTTTATTGAGAACATTGATATGATGTGGCCCTGAAGAGCTATTGTTACTGCTGCTAGGTGCCATGGAGTTGATTCTGACTCATTATGACCCTATTCACAACAGAACAAAGCACCTTTACAATTGTTATGCTTTAGCCCATTGCTGTTGCTTATTAGGGGTCTTCCTCTTTAACTGACCTTCCACTTTACCAAGCATAATGTCCTTCCCCAGGGACTGGTCCCTTCTGACAACATGTGCAAAGCATGAGAGTTGAAATCTCACCAACTTTGCTTCTAAGGAGTATTCTGACTGTACTTCTTCTAACACAGGTGTATTTGTTCTTCTGGTCTCCATGGTACTTTCAGTATTCTTCTCCAACACCATAGCTCAAATGTATCAGTTCTTCTACAGTCTTCCTTATTCATTGTCCAACTTTCACATGCAAAAGAGGCAACTGAAAATACTATGGCTTGGGTCTGGCTCACACAAGTCCTCAAACTGATATCTTTGCTCTTGAGCACTTTGAAGAGGTTATGTGCAGCAAATTTGCCTGATACAATACTTCATTTCATGTCTTGACTGCTGCTTCCCTGAATGTTGATAATGGATCTAAGAAAAATGAGAAATCTTCAGAACTTCAATCTTTTTTCCATTTATCATAATGTTATGTAATGGTTCACTTGTGAGGATTTTTGTTTTCTTTACATTGAGGTTCAACCCATCCCAAAGGTTGTGGTCTTTTATACTCATCACTAAGTATTTTAAGTCCTATTCCTTTTTAGTGAGCAAGTTTATAACATCAATAGATCCGAAGTTGTTAATGAGTCTTCCTCCAATCTTGATACCCTGTTCTGCTTCATATTTTCCAGCACACACCTTTCCTGGTTGAATGACTGCCTCTTGGTCTACGTACAGGTTCCTCATGAGCACAGTTAAGTGTTCTGTAATACCCGTTCTTCACATGGTTATTCATAGCTTTTCATGATCCACACAGTCAAAAGTCTTGCATAGTTAATCAAGGACAAGTAAGCATATGGTATTCTTTGCTTTTTTCCCAAATTCATTGGATGTCAGCAATGCTATCCCTAGTTTCACATCCTTTTTAATCTGGCTTGAGTTGCTGGCAGTTGTATTCCTGATGTACTTATGCAGTCATTTTTAAGATTATTTTCAGCAAAAATTTACTTGCATGTGATATTGATGATATTGTTCAATGATTCCACATTCTGTTGGATCACCTCGCTTTGGAAAGGGCACAAATATGGATCTCTTCCAGCCAGTTGACAAGATAAATGGCTTTCAGATTTTTTGCAATAGGTGAGTGATTGCCACCAATGCTGCTTCAGTTTGTTAAAATATTTTGATCTGTAATCCATAAATTCCTGGAACCTTGCTTTTCATTAGTATCTTCAATGCAGCTTGGGCTTCTTCCTTCAGTACCATCAGGTCTTAATCATAGGGTACCTTTTTGGTCCAGTGACTCTATATATACTTTCCATCATCTTTGGATGCTTTCTGCATCATTCAATATTTAGAATTCTTCAGTATTGCAAGTCGGGCTTGAATTTTGTCTTCAGTTCTTACAACTTGAGAAATGCTGAGTCTGTTATTCCTCGTTTGTTTGCTAACTCCGGGTCTTTGCATATTTCATTATAATACTTGTCTTCTGGAGCTGCCCTTTGAAATTTTCTGTTCAGCTCTTTGACTTCATCATTTCTTGCATTCACTTTAGCATCTCTTCACTGGAGAGCAAGTTTCATAGTCTCTCCAATTTGGCATTTTCCTTCTTCCCTATCTTTTTAATAACCTTTTACTTTCTTCCTGTATCATGTTCTTCATGTCACCCAATCGCTCTTCTGGTCTTCATTCATTGGCTTCTAATGCATCCAATCTGTCCTTGAAATGATCTCTAAATTCATTTGGGATATGTTCAGGATCATCTTTTGGCTTTCGGGACTTGATTTCTTCTGCTTCAGCCTGAACTTGCACATGCGTAATCGATAGTCTAGTCCAGTCTGCCCCTGGCCTTATTTTTACTGATAATATGGAGTCTTTCTACCATCTCTTCCCAAAGATGTGGTCAGTTTAATTTCTATGTCTTCCAACTGGTGAGCGCCATGTGTACAGTCATATTTTATGTTTTTTTAAAAAGGTGTTTGCAATGAAAAGTCACTGTTATTGCAAAATTCTGTCATCATTTCTATCACCAAGGTCACATTTTCTAACTCTTAATTTAAAGCCTTTACATTCCAATCACCAATAATTATCAGTGTATTTTGATTGCATGTTTGATCAACTTCATTGGTAAGATTCTTCAAATTCCTCATCATTGGCTTTAGTGGTTGGGTGTAAATTTGAATACTAGTGGGGTGAACTGATCTTCTTTGCACTATATGGATATTATCCTATCACTGGCAGTGATGTATTTCCAGAAAGATCTTTAAGTGTTCTCTTTGATGATGAATGCTACACCATTCCTTTTGAATTTGTCATTCCCAACATAGTAAACCATGTGATTGTCAAATTCAAGATGGCCAATACTACTCCATTTCAGTTCACTAAAGTCTAAGATATCAATTTTTATGCATTTCACTTTTCACAACTTCCAATTTTCTTAGATTTGTATTTCATAAATTCCACATCCCAATTATTCATGGATGTTTTCAGCTGTTTCTCTTCATTTTTAGTTGTGTTCCTTCAGTCAGTGATGGTCCTGAAAGCTTTATTCCATTCACATCATCATGATTAACGCTATTTTAAGAGGCAGCTCTTCCCCAGTCATATTTTGAGTGCCTTCCAACTTGAAGAGCTCATTTTCCAGTGATATATCTGACAATATTCTCATGCTATACATTATGTTTTCATCTTTCAACACTTTATCTTATAATGGTCTGCTGCTATTCATAAGACTTTTAGTGACTAAACATTGAGAAGTAGTCTGCTGGTCCTTCCATCCTCTCTTAAAATTACTTTTCACAACGCATCTTTTGGAGACCTTGGAGGGTACTATAGCATAAGCACTGGGTTGCTAGCCACAAGATCGATGGTTTGTATCCACTAGCTGCTCCTCTAAAATCTAATACATAGTCGTTATGAGTCAGAACCAACTCGGGAGCACTTAGCAACATCAAGCATCTTTTGGCAGTTCTGTGGCTCAGTAAGATAAGTACTGAACTGCTAAGCACAGTGTCAGCAATTTGAGCTTACCATCTACTCCATGGGAGAAAGATGAGGTGTTCAGCTCCCATAAAGATTAATAACATGGGAAAGCCTATACAGGGTTGCTATGAGTTGGAACTGACTTGACGGCACTTAATAACAAGAAGAAGCATCTTTTTGTAGTTCAGCAACTTGAACATTTTGAGATCTAAGAATGAGCAGACACAGACAGAAAGCTAGACTAGAGCATAAAGAACAAAGTCAATACAGCTTCTACTGTATTTTACTAAAGTTTTAGTTCACATGATTTTACTGACATGCATTTGCAATTTACATATGTATCAAGAGATTATGAACCCAGTGTTCTACTTGAAGCAGAATATTCATACGCAGAGTAAAAAAGTAAATTCTCTGCTGCTATAAAAATGTTTTTATTTCATTTTTATCATATGTTCAAGTGGTCATTTTCAAGTCAAATCTAGGTGATAGATACAATGCAGATTGCATGATACATGATTGAATTTTGCAAAATCAACTTTTATTCATTAAGTATACATATTCTGAACAACATAAATGGTAACTATATATGTGGACTATCCATTAATAATCAGAACATGGAATGGACAAAGTATGAATCTAGAAAATGGAAGTTGTCAAAAATTAAATAGAATGTATAAAGATTGATATCCTAAGCATTAGATGAAATGGACTAGTATTAGCCATTTTTAATCTGACGATCATATGGTTTACTATGCTGAGAATGA